TTTCTGCTGGAGGCCAGGGTGCCACAGCTCTGCTGGATAACCGTTTAAATTCCAGTTTGCTCCAACAGCCCAGAGCCAGTCAGGCTTTTAAAGACTGGATTTTAACTCCCTGAATTCCTTAGGCAGTTTGCCTGCCTTCCTTTCCTAAGCCTCGGGAACAGCCTCCAGAGGCAGAACCTGAGGGGGCTGTTAAACCAAGGAGTGTTTGTTTCTCATCTCCAGACCAAACACATCCGTGTCCTGCACTCCCATGGGCAAGGCTGGCAGCGAGTTCCAGCTGGGTTTGAGACATCCCTGGAGTCAGGTTGGCTCCTGGCAGCTTCCAGACTGGGAATGTTCTCCTTTAGGCCACAACTGGAAGGAGAGAAGGACAGTGCAAAGCAAACCTTTGGAATTACAGCCAAGGACAGCTGATTTGTTGGAAGGCAAAAAGGAACAGGCCCTTCCTCTATCTCACCTCTGGCTCTCTCCACACCTGCCTACACCTGCTTCCCTCTTGTCCTGCCTCTTTCCATCGCAGGAGCTCACCCTGGAAGATCTGATCTGCTCCCACCTGTCCCAGGGTGGACTCTTTAACCAGGGACAGGACTCCTTCCTCGTCGGGGTGGAGCTGGGATCCCTTCCTTCCAGTGGGATGAAGATGGATCAGTACGAGTCTCAGCTGCAAATCCCACAGGAACGAGGGACATTGGTGCAATTCCACAGCTGGAAATCCCGGAGTGGCCAAGGAATGGGGCACGTGGTGCCACCCCAAAGCTGGGCTGGTGACAGGGGAGAGCCTGGCAGGAGGAAAGGGGTTGGTTTTCCCTCTCTCCACGTCGCATAAAAGGACTAATCCATATTCCTTTGGATTATACAAGCTCCAAAACACACCTCGGCCTCGGAGCCACCTTCACCCAATCGCAGGAGCCACTCGGTGCCTCGTATATTTACTGGGCAATAGAGATTTAAGGGATAATGGTCATGGCAGCAGAGTATACAAAGCAATAAACTGCTTTTGAGGTTGGTTAAATGCCAAGTGATGCTGAGGCCTCGATGCCATAAACATTATTTCTATTATATGACAAGATAAGAGGATACAATAAACCACAAAAGAAGAAAAATCATTTTCTGGCCTCGTGAAAGTTCTGGGCTCGGCGTTTCCTGGACACTGCACGGGCAGGGGTTTAGGGGGAATAAATTGGGAAATTAAGGAGGGGTTTAAAAAGCAAACGATTGTCTGAGGAAATGGCCTGGATAACTGGAGCCCTGGAATCAGGAGCGGACTCGTCTCACTTATAAAAGCGAAACAGCGTGCAGGGGGAAGAAGAGGGTGGGGAAAAGTCATGCTCCCAGTTGAATATATTCAATATTACAGCCCCCTCTGTTAGTTCTGGTAACAGGAGTGGACAAACAGTTCAATTAATCAAGATATTCCTCCTCGAGCATCCAGCACTCCCAAGGCCTCCTTGTCCCAGACCTGTGTGCTGGGTGCTGTCAGGAGGTGGGTGAAGGTTTCATCCCCTTGCTCCAAGGAGGTGGGTGAAGGTTTCATCCCCTTGCTCCAAGGAGGTGGATCTGCCCCCCTGCACAGACCTCGGGAACACACCTTGGGAACGCCTCCCAAACTCCGATGGCAACGCCCAAGTTCTCCCCGAGCCCTCGGCTGTGCTGGAGCCTCTCGCCGTGTGAGCGCTTGGAAAGGGGATTAGGAGACTTTAACGGTGATTAGCAGCACACACCAGCCCAGATTAATTTCACTGAACAGATTCAGCGACTCCAGGCATCACTCTCCACCTTCCACAGGCATTCCAGAGGCAGGGCCCTGCTCCAGCTCCTGGTGGGGGGGACACACACACCCCCCTGCTGGGGAACAGCTCCACTCCCTCCTGCCCAGAGAGCTGGGGAAAGGGGAAAATGTGCCACCTGTCCTGCTCGGGGAAGGAACCAGACACACGACCTTGGGAAGAAACGTTTTTCAACGGCAGCATCTGCGGCACATTCGGAGTCAGCTGTGCCACCACGGCCCCGCTGCTGGGAAGGGACTGCCAGGAGAATCCCAAAATAACCCCCACTGCAGCCCTGGCAACCCAAACATGTTTACAGCCCGCTGCACCCCCCTCCGGCACGGCGAGATCTGCTCGGCTATTTTCGGTGGCCATTCCCTCTTCCCCCTCCTCGCTGCCCCTGAACGGCTTTGCAACCTTTTTTCCACGTGGAAACAGGGAGGGAAAAGGAGGAAAAAAGGGCACAAGGCATAAGAGATGGGGCTGTACCAGCTGGAGAGGGAATGAAGCAGCTGATGGTTCAAAGATTAACATAATTTATTTTTTTTTCCTTTACACCAAACAGGGGAATCACCACTGGCTTCAGATCTGCTTGGTCCAGCTCTCCCCTCTCCTCTTCCTGTGCCCAGGGGGACTGGGCAGGGGATCAAAGCTTCAGCACTGAGAGGAACTGAGAGTGGAAGGACCTGACCAGGAGTCATCCCAAAAATGCTGACCTGGACAACACCAAGAGGCTCAAGAGCCACTGACACCCTCCCGTTCCAGCGGCTTTTCCAAAGCAAAACGCACCCAGAGCTCTCAAAGGAACAGAAGCTCAAAGCTCTGGATGTACAGACTCCGCTGGGAGGGGTGGGATGTTCGGCTGGCGGCTCACATGGACCTGAATGTCCCTTTTTGTCCCCCGTGTTTGAAGACAAGTGTCTCCACTGCTGGATGGCAGGGACCAAACCAAGAGAGCTGCAGCCCCCTCTGACCCTTCCAAGGCTCCACGTTAACCTGAGTCCACAGGGAGAAGCCATTCCTGATGGGATGGTCCCCAAGTGGCTTGTCCAGGGTCAGGGTTCGGTGCCAGAAAGCAGCACAAGCTGCTGGGGAACCAGCGTGGCCCCTGAGTCCTGTGGCAGCTGCAGCCCCCAGCCCCAAATCCACATTTATCCTCCAAGCTCCCAACTCTGCTGCCCTGCCCAGCTCATCCCAGTGATGATCCCACTTCACTCTGCTGGCCCAGGAAGCTCAGCTCAGCCAGAATCAGCTACAAAAAAAAAAACGCAGGTGAGACACCGGGACTTAGAGAGAAAGGCTCAGAGCACCCCTGGGTTTAGTTAAGGGATGACCCAACAGCCAGCAAACACCTCCTAACACCTGGAATTCCACAGGCAGGATCTTCAGTCCAACAAACAAACATCAGCTCCATCCCCAGCCCGGAAGCCGCAGCCAAACAGGTTCAGACTGGAAACGAGGCATCGGTTTTCCCTCCCAGCAAAAGCAATTAACCATTAGAGCAACTTAAACCGAGGGCTGTGGTGAATTCCCCGTGGCTGGAAATATTTCACATCAAGCTTGGATCATCACATTTAATACCTGCTCTGGTTTTGAGCAGGCATTGAAGGACGTTCTAGGAAACCGTGCACGAGGTCAGGCTGGATCACCATGAATCATCCCGCTATGAATTACCCCGGATTCCAACATTTCCATATTAACATGAAGAATTGTCAGAATTACCCATAAGCAGCAGGCTGGAACAGCGAAAGGAGGAAGCAACCACCTTTATATGTCATTTGTGGGAGATTGTGGGAGATTAAATTTAAATACATTGTTGTTTGCCTTAATTGCTTGTTTGAATCCGATTTTAAGGCTGTGTGATTGAAGTGCTCACGCCATTAAGTGCTCAAACACAGCTAATACATTTTATAAATGACTTGCACAATTTCACAGGCAAAGAAGTTTCAGATAAAAAGCAGCCCCACAAAAAAAAAAAAAAAAGGAAAAAAAAAAGGCAAAAGGAGGAAGATCACCTGCAAGTGGGCAGAGAGAAGGCTCCGCATGGGGCTCGTGCCAGAAGGACCAGAAAGCTGGGAAGCCTGAACTGAGTTTTTTCGAAGAGCCCCAGTCCCCAGGAGTTACCAGATGAGGAGGGTTTTGACCCGTTTTTGTGCTATAAAAACAAACAGCACCACAGAACCCACATGCAGCCTCAGAGGAGGTGCCCTGGGGAGGCAAAATTATCTTTACTTTCAATTGAGAGACCCACAGGAGGCATTAAGGTACTAAATAAATTGAAGAACTGGGGACACACACACACACACAGGGGGGTACCCTGGGATTGGTTATCGCTCCCAAACCCATCCCAGCCATCCCAGTTTGGCAACCCAACACCCAAAGGCTGCAGCCAGGAAACCAGAGCGAGCACATCCCTTAATACTTCATTCAAAGCCACCATTCCCCCGTCTTCTCCTTCCCCTACAAAAGGCAATTTTGAGGTTCTAACGCTTCAGAAAAGGCAAACACAAATCTCCCTGGGGCTCTGCACGGGGCTGCACTTCCACAGCAGAAGAAGAAACTCCCCCAGTTTCCCAGAGCTCCCATTAAATCAGCCCCAGCAGGAATCCCATTATCCTCCTGTTCCTCCCAGTACCAGGGCGCGTGAGAGACCCCAAGCTCAGCACCAAAACCCAAGGAAAATGGGATGGGAAGGCGCCTGCCAAGGCTGGTGATGGGAAAGGGATGTGCCTCGTCCAGAATCCCCCGTCCAGGGGAAAGGCAGCAACAGCTCCAGGGGAGGGGAAACTCACAATGGGATGGCAAGAAAAGCCATCCCAAAATAGCCACAGCAGTTTGGGGCTCACCTAACACAGACCATCACCTGTCACATTCCCAGCTGCTCCACAGGAGCCACCTCACCCCGAGGGGGGGGTGGGGGGGAGCGGGTCTGTCCTTTGGGAGAGGAGGAGCAGCTTTTTAAGCAGGAGCACTGAATTCCAGAGTGTGTGTGTGGGGGGAATTCAGCGAGATCCTGGCAAACACCAGCAGCACAACAAGGACCAACCTCCCCCCCCACCACCACCACCAAACCACCCCCACCAAAGCCAGCTCCCAGCTCGTAACGGGGGGGATTTACACCCTGCAAACCCCGGGGCTCTGATTACCTCCCGGGATCACGTCAAACACCCGGCTTTAAAGCGCTTTTGGCTCCGCGATAAAACAGCCGCTTTGATTCACGGCCGGATTCGTTACCTGTCCGCAGCCCGGGGCGCCGCACACGAACGGCCTGTCGTCGCCCATATTTCACACGGCCTGAGCTGAGCTGGGGGGGCAGAGAGGAGAGAGGAGAGAAGGGGGGAAATGGTTAAATAAGCTCCAAAAAAAAGAAAAATAAATTGTAGATATCAAGAGCAGAAGCTGCCCCCCTTTGCTGGGTCGGCATTAATCAGCGCTGGGAGCGTGGGGAAAGGAGGGACGCAACCCGCGGAGAGGAATTAATCCAACTCGAGGTTTAAATAAGGCTTGGGAGGTGATTTTTTTTCGTGGAGGAAGGGAAATGGGACAGGGCAGGCCTGGAAAGGTGTGGGAGCTTCCCATGCCAGGCTCAAGAGGATCAAGGGAGCGGCTCAGTGTCACCTCCTGCGAGATGGGGACGACGCTCAACCCTTGGGAAAGGCCACCCAGTGCAGCAAAGACCTCTTGGCAGCAGATCCTCCCTTAATATTCACAGTATCATGGAATTGTGGAATATCCTGAACCCACAAGGATCACCCAGTCCAGCTCCTGGCCCAGCCCAAGAATTCCTCCCCCCTTCACACACACACACGAGGAAAGACAGTGACAATCTCCAGGAAAACAAAGTGCAAGCAGGCAGCGATCAAATAAATCCAAGCCCTCTCTCTGCACCAGTTATATTTTCAATGGGAGAGAACTAAAATTTGTCATTTAATTAATTAAGGGATTATAGGAGTGGTGCTCCGTTTTACAAGGCAATAATCTGGCTCCCCAGTGGGTAAACTACAAGGCTGATGGCAGGGGTAGTTTATCACGGATTACAGCCAAGGATAACAAAACACTCAGCCCTATTATGCTACAAGTGAAGCTATTCTTATTAATAAAAAATAAGAGTAAATAAAGTAACACACCCCCCCCCCCCATACACACACACACACACCTCTCAAATTCGAGAAATAACGGTCCCCTCCACCCACTGATATTTTTATGGGAGGATTTTAAAAAGCTGTAATAAAGCAAATGCTCTCTCTTCGGGGGGTTGCTGTGGGAACACGCTTGGGCCGCTCGTGTTGCCTCCAGCATCTCCTGCTCCAAGTTGGGAGGGACCCAGAGCAGAGCCATGGGCTCTGGGGGGAAGGTTCTGCACTCCCAGCCCCGAGCACCCACAGCAGGACGGGCAGGGAGGGTTGGTATTTTTAGGAGCTCTCCGAGAAAGTGCTCCAAGAATGCGGCTCAGCAGCGGAGGTGGGGGCATGTGCTGCAGAAACAGCCCCTTCTGCTCTCAGTGAAAAGGCAAGGGAATCAATTATTGCTTAATTTGAAAAAAAAAAAAAAAAAGGTTATTTTTCTGTTGCTGGGGCAGTCAGCAGCTAAACGGGCTGGAGAGGGTGAATTCCTACCCCTTGCCTGCAGTGACAACAACCAAAGTGTGGTGAGAGAGGAGCTGCCAGCTCTTCTCCCACAAAACCAGGACAGAGAGGCATCCACAGCACCGAGCTGTGCCTGGATTTATTAAGCCAAACTCCAGGGTCTGTGCAAACAGGACTCAGAAAGGATAAATGTCCCTGTCAGAAACGGGATGGGCTGGCAGCCAAAACTCTGCCCGGCCCAGGACAGGGATAACAAAGGCAATCCAACGGCCCAGGAGCGTCCACCCACCTCAGAGCAGCCCCCAGAAGCGACACAGGGCTGGCAGAGCTGGAGGTGGCCTGGCAGGGGACGGCAGCACCTTCAGCAGGAAGGGCAAATCCTGCCCAAGGCGAGCGTCGAGGCGACACCAAAACGAGCCTGAACGCGTTCCAGACGGGGGCTCTTCACATCACCCCTCTGAACTCCTACCCAAGCTCCAAACTTGGAACTCAGGGAATCCAAAATGCTGCTAAAGAAGCAGGGATTCCCCTCACCCCCTTCCATCAGCAGCCACCTGATCCTCCTCCCAGAGGAATCTCCCCAGGGCCCCGCAGCAGCTGCCTCTCACACATCTGCTGTGTCCCAACAGGGGACACACGAGCCGCTCTCGTGACCTGCTCCCAAAGGCACGGAGAAGCCCAGGCTTCCTTGGGAAGTCTGAACAGGCAGCAGGAGCCTCTGGCAGGGAGGGAACGAAGAGGTCAAACCCCTCTCCTTTGTGACACCAAGCCACGGTTCGGATCAGGCGCCCTGACGCCGCAAAGAGGAGAAGCGCAAAGGGATCGAACGCACTCGGGGTCCAGAGCCATCAGATGTGAACCCCACAGCTGTCACACACCCAAAGCTGTTGTAGCCCCAGAACGGCCACGTGTCCATCTGGATGCAAAAGCTCGACCGTGTGGAGCCCAAAACTCCTCACCCTCAGGGCCGGGGATGCTGGTGAGCTGCTCCAAAAAGGCACCAGCTCTCACAGCCCTGTTCTCAGTGAATCACAGCAATCAGAGGCTCTCTGCCAGTGCAGCACCCCAGTTCAGAGCTGTGGCCCTGGGACAGCAGCAAAGTCACCCAGCACTGAAGGGCAGCTGTGATGCTCCTCGCTGCCAGAGCCAGGCTGGAAGTGCTGGAAGAGCCTCAAGAGCCTTTAAACCACCCTCCTACGTTTAAACTGTGTGGGATGAGGCTGGGGATGTGTTTATTCCATCAGCAAACAGATCTTAGTGTTAAACAGGAGCAGAGTGGTGCTGGAGGGAGATGCTGATTTCGCAGGGCAGCCAAGCCGGGCTTTTTTAATTAACACAGGTCAGAGATCTGTCCTCACCGCCAGCACCCACAACTGCGGGGTCTCTCCGCCTCGTATCGGTCCTTCCGTGAAACCTCTCTGAGAAATTAAAGGACCAGCATCAGCTGCCAACCCCAGGGGCTCTGACAGCACAGAGAAACCACCCCAGAGCCGATGGCACATCAGCTGCCCAGAGCAGGACAAAAAAAAAACCTGGGCCAACAACCCCGCAAAAGGCTCCGTTTCCTCGAGCTTGCAAAGTGTCAGGAGGATTTGCTCATTCCTTAAGGCAAGATTTAGCTGCTCGTTCGCTGCAGAATATGACTGGTATGTACATACATGTGCTCAGATTTATGTCACATTTAGGCAGGATAAATTGCTTCAATAAATTCTGTCCTTAAGAAGAGGCAGAACGAGGAGCTGATTGGATACCGGGAGCGCGTTCCCATCCCTCTTCCGGCAGCCGTGGGGACAGTATTTCACTGTTTTGATGATTTTTAGCGCGTTGGACACGGCGAGGGGAGGAAGAAATGTAGATTACTGAGCACTCCAGAGCTCAGTCAGACACACCTGAGAGGCGGCTGTTGGCTCAGGGGAGCTGGAGAGGCATTTTCACCCAAACCAGACCGTCAGCCCCTCATATCCCCCCAGGACACGACAATCCCTCACGTCCCTTTCCCTCACTCCATCCCAATCCCCTGCTGCCCCCCTGGATAAGGCCATTAAGTGGCAGGAGCATCAAACACTAACAAAAGGTGTAACATGGACCTTGGCCGTGAACCACAAGCCCAGGGGTGAAGTTCTGGACAAGGTTACAAGCAATGCCCAAGGGAGTCCCGTGACAGGGTGATGTTGTCACCTCTACCATTAAAATATGTATTTTACCCACCTAAACAGAGCAGGAGAGGGGAGAGGCTGCAGGTATCCAGTGAAAGCCAGAACCTTCCCTCCCCCTCGCAGCAATTCACTTGCTGCCCATCAGAGCCTCTATCCATCACGAACCACCCAACGGGGACCCTGGGCTGGGACGAGCTGGTTTTGCTCACCTCAATAACCAGAATTCCCACTTATTTCCAAGTTTAATCCTTCCTGCAGACACCGGAGCCAGCCCAGATGCTGCCATCCCCACGGTACACCAGCCCATAAACCCAAGTGGTCCCAAAGCATGTTAACTAATCCATTAAGAGAAAACAGAGCCTGTTATCCTGGTCTAGACAGACACCAGGGGGGGAATATCTGAAGTCCCTTAAAAGGAATTAAGATGTATTACATGCATCAACAACAGCAATCAAAGACCAGCCTTCCTGAACAGCACGTCCCCCAGGACACGTGCTGGCACCTCACGGAACCCATTTGAAAAACTTCCATTTGGAAACAGCTCAGGAAGAGCCAGGAGGAGCAGGATGACGTTCGCAAAGGCCGCTCGGCACTTCTGGAGCCTTTCCTCCAAGATGCTCCTCCAACTGAGCTGTCTGAGCTTCACCCCGTGGCTCTGGGTGGCATCAGCCTGGTGACATGGGAAGGGACACAGCCAGGTTCATGATTGCCCTTGGCTTTGCCACCCACAGCTACTTTCACAGCCGCCACCGCAGCCACCCCACAGCCGGGCACTCGCACGCGCCGGGATCGGGCTGTGTGCTGGTGGAGCTTCCCCGGACCTGTTCCAGCTGAATTCCTGACAAGTAGCTGAGGCTGGAAGCAGCCTCAAGCCAGGATTTGTAAATCTTGAGTCATGTCTCCTCTGGTTTGCCAAAGTCACGAGTGACTGGCCCCTCAAAAACAAACCCTTCTCCTTAAAGCTCAGCGCGAAGGCGGAAGAAGCTCCCGGCTCGTTCGTTCTGCTGAACGTTTGGGGATAGAGCTGGGCCGAAAAATGCTCTAAAAATAAGGCTCTATTGTTGTCCTTGCATGTGACTTGTCACTGCAGGAATGTTCGTGCCCGACACTTCCATCTGGGCCTTGCAGGACAAGCTGAAACGCTCCAGATCCCAATATTTGGGCGTAGACAGACACTGTTCCGTGTTGAGGCTGCCAGCACAGATCCCTCCCCAGCAGGGATTCCTCCCAACACAGATCCCTCCCAGCAGGGATCTCTTCCCAATACAGCTCCCCCTCCATCACTGATCCCTCGCTCCTACACCAGTACAAGCCCATTTATGGTTTATGCCCATAAATCACGAGGATAAACTTCACATTTATATGACCACAAAATTAATGCCGGGGGGTTGCACCAGCTATGAAACAAAACCAGAAGAGCTGCAGAGCGACCTCCTAAAAATAGGCTTCAGCAGAAGAGGCACAAAAGCACGTTGCAGGTTCTGCTGACAGAGTCTCTCTGCTAAGATTTAGGGAGACCTGAGTGAGGAAAATGAGTCAGAAGAAAGAAAACTGCTGGAGAGAGAGGGACATCAAGAGCAAGGCTGTCCCTAGGGGAAGGTCATTTCAGCACTGATTTTTTAAGAGTTCTGGTCCTGCTGGGAATAGCTCAAGCTGGAAGAGACCCACAAGGATCATCGAGTCCAAATCTTAAGTGAATGGGGAACAAACCCCACACAAGGTAAATAACTGCCTGTGTTGGGATTGGTGCTGACTCCACACCGGCTGTGCCACCCAGCACCCCAAAAAAGGGTCCAACAGGGGCTCCAGGAGGAGGGAGCTCCCTGAGATGGCTCAGTGGCTGTATCCCTGCAGGACACACACTGCACAGGGATTACAGCTGCTTTACTCTCCAAAACAAAAAGCTCCCTGCATGGGTCACAAACCCCATCGCCCTCGGGCCTGCAGGAACAAGTCCAAGCAAAGGTGCAGCTCAAGGTGAGGTGTCTCTACCAACAGGCAGTCCCACAAACCTGTCTGAGATCATCCCAGGCTGTTAAATAGGGCAAAGAGTCCTCAAGAAGGGCGGAGGAGCCAGGGAGGGCTGGGGCTTAGCAGGAGAACTGTAGCTGAACTGCAGCTGTCAGGAGAACTGATGGTGGAAGCAAAGGCAGACCTGGGGCAGAAAGGGTGTCTTACCCACACATTTCCCCAAAAGAGAGAAAGTTTCATCACTGCCAGGGCCAGCCCGGGGTTCTACTGCACCTCTGGCAGGTGAAGCTCAGTTTTCTCCCCAGTTTAGTCATCGCTGCTCTTCTGCTTTTCACATCCAGCTTAATAAAAAAGGTAGAGCAGAGGCAGGAGTTAACTTTTGATGAGCCTGAGCTACGTGGGATTAATTCTGGGAGACTAATGAGTCGCCAGGCCATCCCAGCTCCATCTGGGTAAGTTTGCCGAGCCCTGGGAGCCGTGCCAGGAGCTCTAACAAGCAAGAGCCGCAGCACAAACAAGCCCATTCAAACACAAATGGTGCTCAAGACACCAGCCCAGCCCCAAGGACAGGCAGAGCTGCTGCTGCTGCTGCTGCTGGGGAGAGCAGAGAAACCCACCATAAACGAGATTATTATAGATGGCTGCACCCGAATCAGGGCTGGAGAATCCTCTTTCCTGCAGGAGGGTACACAAAGCGCAGGCAGGCTCCGTAATTGCCACCGGGAGCTGGTTGCAGTCACAAACCAAACTGCTCTTTGGCGAGCAGGAGGGAAAGGAAGGCAGCCTGACAGCCATTTCCAGCCAAGGAGAAAGAAGGAAGCACGAGGCACTGGCCCAAGCCCTCCAAAATAGTACGAGATTTCCACTAAAATGCAAGGAAGGAAACACGTTGCTTTGAGGCCGGGCCAGGAAAGGCTCGTTATTATTTTTTTTTTTTTCTGAGTGCAGTCATTAACAGCTCTCTGCCCTGAGCTTCCTGACCCTCAGAACGATTCAGCACCCTGGATGGGTTGGGATCAGCAGGGTCACCCAGGCAGCAACACCCAGAGGGAACCCCATCCTTCCCCCGCCCTGGGCCAGGGTTTGGTGTTGGGTTAACATCCAGCACTGAAGCGATGATTGTGAGCACCGTGATCCATCCTCAAGGAGGAAGGGGAGAAAAAAAACCCAAGAGGTCAAGTTCTTCCTTAAAAAAAAAAAAAAAAAACCAAAGAAAACCAAGAAGAAAAAAGTGCTTTCCCGTAGAGGCTCCCTCGTGCAGGGTCAGCCCTGCCAGGCAGGGCTTGGGGCCCAACCGGCTCCGAGCAGCCACTCTGGCACCTCATTTCCACTGAGGAAAATGACTGTTGGGCCCCCCCAGACTGAATTCTGACTGCCAGACTAAATTCGGTGCCTGCAGGGACTCAGGCACAGGGCTGGTCCTGCCCCTCTGGGTGCCCAGAGCTCTCCCTGACCCTCCCATCTGCGATACACCCAAAGAGATTGCGAAAGACTTGCAGTTTTGCAGGGGAGAGGCCCTTGCAGAGCTCAGGGCAGCTCTTAGGCCTGAGCTCTGCCTTTCAAGTTATTTCGGGGTGTGAGGGAAGGAGTGAGAGTGTTTGCTTTGTAACCAAAAAGCTGCAGGAGCTTAAAACTGTCATCTGGGAAAGGAGGCCAAAAGCTGAGGCTGTAAAATCTGAACACCCTTCTGCTTCACGAGCTTGATAAAGCAAACCCCAACTGTATAAACTGGAATATTGGCACGGAATGTGCTCGAAGCAAATCCCCCACAGCCACAGAGCGTTTAACAAGTCATTACAGTGAACCTCAAGCCAAGTGCCACCACTTAATCCCTCCCCCTCCGCACTTTTCTGGGTGTTCAGCACTGCTCAGGTTGGCAGAGGATCCCCCCTGTTCACAGGAGCATCCCCAAGCAGCTGGAACACGACGGGCCTGAGCGGTGTCAGAGATGCACAAAGCCCTCACTTCTCGCCTGGAAGAGCCTTGGAGCATCACCAGCCCTGTCAGAAGAACAACTTCTCCCACCAGACCTATGTTGGGACCTGAAGTGAGCTCCTCCTCAGCTCGCCCCGGGGAGCAAATGAACTGCAGATTATTCCCAAGTGCTTTGGGAAAAGGAAGCGACAGCCAGGCCCCCTTCTCCTCCCCTCAGGGTGAAAAGATGGGACAGGGAGGCATTGTCAGAGTCCTGTCAAACGTAAAGCAAACTGCAGCCAGCGGGATAACGCGGGCCCCAAGCCGAGCCTTCTGAGCCTTCACCCAGACAGAAAAGCCTTTTCCCTGCACTTAAAGCAACAAACCCCCTCGGCTGGGAGCTCCAGCCAGCCCACAGGGCTTTTCCCAGCACAGTTCCCACCAGTCCTCCCAAGGACACCGCTCACCCAACATTCTTAGGTCACCAGACAGTGCCACTCGCTCACGCTGCCTCCAGGGGTGGGATAAAAGCATCTTTGCCTGGCCACCCTCCAGGTCAGGTCTCTGCCTTCTGAGAGGTGTTAGAGAATGTCCCACGTCACCTTGGCCGAGCCACAGGTCTGCCCAGACACCACAAAGGGAAGGACAACAGGGTTTCATCACTGTGGTGAAAATAAAAAAAAAAACCAACCGAGACCCAGAAAGGTCTCCGGGTGATCTGGATCTGCCCTCAGGAGGTCCCTCTGCTCGCTCCCACGGAGCTGAGCACCCTGGTTTTCCAGTGCCTGGTGAGCACCTTTGGGGTTTGGGGGCACAAACAGCATCCCCTGGTCCTCTTTGCATGGGCAGAGTCCCCAGAGAGGAGCAGCCACTGCTCTCCAAATCCTGACTTTAACTAATCCTTGCCAAAACATCACCAAAGCAGCCGTAGGCTTGGCAAACCACGCCTGAGAGCAGGCAGGGCTCCTCCAGCTCAGGGCCAAGGAGCAGATTTCCAACACCAAAAGGCATTTGTCCAACAGGCTTTGAAGCCTTGGATGAACACGAGACAAAACCCAGCAAGTCAGCGACTTCCCCGGGCAAGAAGACGAGGAAAGACCATCTCTAAATCATCCTCTCATGAAGAAGTCGTGTTTCCCTCCCTTTCTGGAGGGAAGATGGACTCTGCAGGATGTCCCTAAGGTTGCTTTACACTGAGAGACAAGGGAGAGACCAAACTGGGGCACCCCCAGAGCAGGAGCTCGCTGGGAGTGCCCGGACAGGGTCGTTTGGTTTGATCCCATCAAACCCAGCGTCCACCTCAGCGCCGCAATGAGCAGCACGGCCCCAGGCACTGCTTGTGGGCATATGGTTGCTCCAGGACCTTCTCCAGGATGGGAAGAATCATATAGGAAGTCCCTGAGCCTTCCACTGAGGTCAGAAAAGCTTCACCTTTGAGCCTGGGTCTTTAGACCCAGAGGTCCATCTGTCCCCAGGAGTGACCGAACCCAGGGTGACAACAGGCAGGAGCACATCCCATCTCATCCCATCCCACTCCAGCCAAGGAAAACGGCACAAACTTCCCCATGAGCTCAAGCAAAAGCTCCTTTTTCTTCCCACACACCTCAGCTGAACCCTGGCAGCCCAGTGAGCAGCAATTCCAAAGGCAGAATCCCAGACACCAGGCAGGCAGCCCCCGGATCTCGGCACTGCGGCTCTCGGGTCGCCTCCGTGTGTCTTCATTAACGGCGATCCATCTTCAGCCCCGCTCTCCCTCCCCAGCAGGGACAGCAGCAGTGCCAGAGATCTACTACAGGAGGAGAGAAATAATTCAGGTTTAAGGAAGGAAGGAAAAGCCTCCGAGACCCGCTGTTCCTTCCCGAGCCCAGATAATTACAAGAGAGGCACGGCGAGCCTTGGAGGACGCAGTATTTTACCTCGGAAATGCCTGAGTGACCCAGAAACTGGAGTCCCATTTCCTGAAATTATTTCACCACTTCAGAGCCCTTGTTTCAATGAAAGCAAGGAAAAAAAAAAAAGGCTGCTGAAAACGAATCACAACAGCCCAGGTCGAGCAGGAACATATTTTTTTCCCCCCCACGATGTGCGTGTGAATGGTTTGAAGGGAAGAACCTACGGATAAAACACCCACCTATGAATTAAAACAGCTGAACCAGCAGCAGCAGCAGGATGGGGTCAGGAAGGCCCTGTGCTCCTCTGCTCATAAAGGAAAAATCTCCTGCCCCCCACCTGTTATTATTCCATCCCACCTGGGCACTTTGCTTTATTCAGCAATCAGAGGCTCACACGCTTTATCGTCGCCGTTATTGGACACACGAGCCCTAAAATCAGAGGGGAGCAAGAAATATTCTGGAGAGGAGCAACGTGTGGAAAGCTGGGGCGTTGCAGTGAGTTGTGGAAGCGTTTTGGTGGCGAACAAAGGCGCGATTTCCGAGGCAGGAGGTTCACATCACTCAAAGGTGAGACCCCCACGGGGTGCAGGACGTGGTTCCTAAATGGGCTCCTACACACAGAGGGGCACTGGAAACAGAGGTCTGCCAAAAACACAACGCTCAGGAACAAATCCCACCCCCCCAAACAGGATCTTCTCCCTTCTCCACGTGGGATAAAATCCCAGTTTCAACCCTGCCGTCCCTCTGGAACCTCCTCGGGGATGTCTCTGTGGGGCTGGGAAAGCACCAAAGTCCCAGAGCCACTTCTGAGGGAAAAACCCTCAAGATCTGCAAAAGAACCGTGTTTTGATGTTGGAAAAGGTCTCCAAGATCACAGAATTCAAGGAAAACCTCCCAGGAAAGATGTGGCAGCCTGAGCTTTCCCATGGGAGCATCCACAGGGAAAGACAGCACAGAATTAGTGAAAAATAGTCATAAAACCCTCAAAACCCTGAAAATATCCTGTGGGACACCGAGGCTGATCCATCAGGCGGTCAGTTGGGAATTTTGAGGTCAGTTTTCCAAGCCTTCCTCCCATCCCAAGCTGCTGGTTTGGCAGCTCCAGCTCCTGGGACCCCCGAAATCCCACCCTCAGGACCCTCAGGGGTCCTCTGCCGTATGAAGACTCCTAAATCTGACTGAGGTTGTAGATGAACCTCCCCAGCCCTGCTTTCCCACCGCCAGTGTGCCCCCATCCTGCTGGATGATGCTCCGCTGTGTCACATTTTTGGGGTCCAGCGGTGAATCCCAGGAGCTCCGGTGACAACCTGACACTGGGTCTCGCCTCCCTCCGCTCCTCATCCATTTTACCAACACTCAAACCAAAAAAAAAAAAAAGAGGAAATATTCCTGCTGCTGGAAGAGCAGAACAGGCAGCAAGTGGCTGCCGAGCCTGCCTGCAGATTCCACCGCAGTGTGAACGATGCAGGGGAGACCCCACATTAATTAGGTTAATTGGCAGAGCTTTTCCCTCCCTTCAGCTTCATCAGCCCAAGTTCAGCCTCCCTTCCCAAACCTTTGAGGCTCTGCAGCACCTCCAGCCACGGACACGACCAGCCAGACCTCTGGAAACGATCGATTTTAAAGTAATTGCAACCATTAATTGCTCGGCGATTAAAAGGCCCGCCCGCCTTCGCCTCGGCACCGACAAGAGGGTTTTTTTGGGCAGCCACCCAAAAAGCCACGTTCTGCTCCAAAGCGTGCTCTCCTCCCTCTGGAAGCAGTTAAAGGGGATAAGGCAGCTCGGTGACACAGGTATAAATACACTCGCTCTTCCCCCGGCGCTGCCAAGCCCGTAACGCGCCGAGGGCGGCTTTTGGAGTAAGGGTTGTTATTCCAAACAGTGCCGGAGGTATTCGCAGCCAGCCAGGGCTGGAAAACGTTTCTCCATGAGCACAAAAAAAACCCCCCCCAGCTGTGCAGAGCTCTGCTCCATGGGCGTCCCCCAAGGCGGGGAAGGGGCGAGCTCCGAGCCACGGAGCGGTTTGGGATGGAAGGGACCTCTCAGACCCCCTCACTCCAAGCTTTCACTCTCTTCTGAACTCCGGCCACAACTTGCAAATCCCACTGAAGGAGCTCGAATGTCTTTTTTTTTTTCTTTAAGGAGAAGGGGAGGAAAAAGTCTGAATGCTCGCTGCTTTGAGGGCTTTTTGGCAGCCTGGCCCACAAAGGGAGCTCAGAGCTCCGTGGAGAAACCCCAGCGTGGGCAGCAGCTGGCACAGGCGGCTTTGTTTGTCCATGAACCAGCTCCCCTCGGCTGGCACGGCGGCTCCAGCACTGCTGGGATCCCTCACACAGGGTGGGACAGCCAGCGGCATTCCAGGCTCTCCGGGGCTGGCTCGTTCCTGCGCTGCTCTGGCTGGAAAGCCTCAAGGAAGGGCTGCTCTCACTTGGGAGCTCCGCTCTGTCCTGGTGTCCCTGCTCACCTCCTGCAGCAAACTTGGGGCTCAGGGAATCCACCTCCTGCCCTCAGCTCAGAACTCAAAAACCCCCACATTAAACCTGGAGAAGCATCCCCCTGTGCTGGGGCTGAAAAAAGCCCTGAATTCCTGGTGTTCCAAAGCCAAGGGCGCAGGCACAGGAGGGCTGACTCTGCCCCAGGTGCACAGGAGAGGGTGGGGGGGGGGGAAAAAAAACCCCAAAGGAGCCTCCTTGGAATTCTGAGCAGGAGAAACTGAACTTCAGAGAAGAAATTAGGCCAAGACTAATTGCAGCCAAACGCACCACAAACACCAGCTCTGGAGAGGGAGGAAAAAAAAACCCCAGCACGAACATCCACCAGCGGCTTGGAGAGGAACCTCTGCGGGCACCGGCACAGTGGGAACGGGCAGTGGGAGCGGACACTGGGAATGCTGGTGGCTCCCCCATGGCACATCCTGCAGCTCAGCTCGCCTGGGAGCTGAGGCCACGGGCACAGGTTGGGCCAGGATCAAATTCCAGCTGCACGTGGGGGGGTGAGCGGGAACTTTTTGGATCTGGGCAAAGCCATTTGAAGAACTGGGGAATGTGAAGAACTGGGGAAAGTGAAGAACTGAGTGGAATGATGAAGAACTGAGTGGAATGAAGAGATTCACTGAGGATTCCAAGCAGGAATCCACCAGCCAGACAGAAGCTGGGCTCTGAGCGCTGGCTGAATCCATTTGATACCCGAAAGGAAGCAAAGGTGTAAAGGTGCTTTTGGTTTGGCCTCTCTAAGCGGATTCCCCCGCACACCTCAAGCCCAAACAGCAACCACTTCTGGCTCCCCAGGAAAGCCCAGGCCGCTGGCTCAGCCCACCCCACTCACCCACGGTGCTGCAAGTCCCCTTGGAGCCCAAACTGTGAAACCAGATCGCTTGAAACGGAGCGGGGGGGAAATAATGAATGAATGACAGGAAGCAACAGGTCCCCAGTCCTGAAGGTCTGTCACAAAAGGGGTATTTTCTCCCAGCATTTCCTCTCTGACTGCAGAGCAGTTCGGAGCTGAATGACCAGGGGAAGAGCAGTTTAGGAAATCTGGCCTCAATTCTCGGTGCCAGGAACGTGAAAACAAACAACCAAAAAAAAA